TGTGTGTGTGTGTGTGTGTGTGTGTGTGTGAGCGTGTTTTGGAAGGGGGGCTGTCTCCCGACTCTATGTTAATAGTAAAGCAATGAAATGGACTATAGATGACTTTATGAGTGTACTCACGGCGATGTCCTGATCTGTGCCTTTGAAGCCTGGACTTGCTTTCCGAATGCATTTGGCTAGGTCGCAAATACTGACGGGTTCACCGCCATTACACTCGTTGAAAAACACCTTGCACTTTTGCTCGAAATCTTTGGCGGCCTTGGACATTTTGGCGAGTGTCTCTGAAGACAGAAAAGTACAATCTTTGTACAAGAAGAGACAGCGAGCTTCACAACACACACACAACGTGACGTGACGCGCTGAGGTTAGAATGAGTTGAGAGCGCGACGGTTGCTTCTGCGGTAGTAGCCTCGACGTGGAGTAGCCGCGCGCGTCGAGCTTCAGCGACAGCCGCGGACGCGGGGAGTGGTGAAGGTGGTACCTGGCGAGATGTTGCAGATGTCAACCTCTGCTCTCCAACTCCAATACCCCCTCCCCGCCACTCTAATCTCCCTCCATTTCCCTTTTATACTCTCTTACCACCCCCACCCCTTCCGTAAATCACAACTATTTCCCTCCCCGCTCTTCCATTTTTCATCAAAATGTTTCAGCGCCCCAGCTGAATTAACTTCGCTGAACACGTGTTTTTCAGTTTATGCGCTCTTTACTTTAAATGCTTTCGAGCTCAAATGCCCATCTAAACTTTGAAAAAGAAACCCCGAGAGAGAGAGAGAGAGAGAGAGAGAGAGAGAGAGAGAGAGAGAGAGAGAGAGTTGTACTTTACTCCTTTCCTGGTGTCGTTGCCTCGCTACTCGCTACTGAAAGTACGGCGAACAGCAGCCGAAGGGTAGGCCTATGTCCCAACTGGCGAGACGCCATTTTCCGGAAGCAGGTGGTAGACGGTATGGCGTTTTTGGTTAAGGGGTGGGGTGGGAAAATTAATTGGGAAGGAAGGGAACTTGATTGTGGGGCATGGTGAATTAGGAGCGAACTATGAAAGCAGCTCCACGTTTAGTGTTGGATGGGTTTGGAATTATTAAGTGTTGGATGGTGGGCGGGAAAGGAATGTCAGAAATAGATGGGATATAGCGGTAGCTTGCACACGTGACCAGGGGACGTACAGTTAACGTGACACAGAAGTTAGGCCTAGATCTATACTGTTAATAACGACAGAGGAATTTTTCATAACCGCTATTTGAGAGAGTGTAGCCTCTGTGTGTGTG